TCCAAGAGCCACTGAAATCCTGCCTCCTCAGACAGCCCAAGAAAAAGAGGGAAGCAGAGGGTAGACATAGCTAGCCAGGATATTATCTCTTCCTTCTCACACCAGGTGAGCCAGGTGAAAGGGGCTGCCCGGCTGGCCCTGCTACAGGAAGCTGGTCTAGATGTGCAGCGCTGGCTGAAACCCGCCATGACCCAAGCCCAGGATGAGGTGGAGCAGGAGAGACGGCTTAGTGAGGCTCGGCTATCCCAGAGGGACCTCTCTCCCACAGTGAGTTCCTCCTTGTTCCTAACCATGCACACCTGGGAGGCTAAAATGCCTTGTTGGAAGGCAAAGCCTCTAAAATGGGAACCACAACATCTAATTCAGAGGGTTGCCACGAGGCTTAAATGATACTGCATAGTTTTTGGTGTGGAGAATCCTCAGTAAACTTCTAATGTGGTGATTATGAATCATGGTTCTGCTGGGCACATGGGTATATGATAATGCCTTTAAATCCCAGAACTCGGGAGGAAGAGGTGGTGGATCTGTGTGAGCTTGAGGCCACCCTGGTCTACAGAGTGAGTTCCAGGTCAGCCAGGGCTACCCTGTCTCAAAAAAAATCACCTCCCTCCAAAACCAAACCAAACCAAACCAAACAAACAAACAAAAAAACCCAAACCCACCATGGTTCTGGGAGCAGTCTGTCTGGAAGTTAATTGAGTGCCAGCCACTCCACTTAATATCCATGTGACCTTGGAAAAATGACTTAATCATGGGAGCCTCAGTTTCCAAAAGTAAAGTGAGGTTAATATAGTTGTGCAGAATCATGCTGGGTTATACTGAAGCTTAAATGAAACAATATATATGTAAGATATTTTGTATTAAACACCTAATTGTAATCGCTGCTATTTAGTATTATCCTGCCCTATGGTGGTTTTAGTTGTGAGACATGGTGATTGGTTATGTGGTCCCGTCTTGAAGGAGGATTCCCAGTGTCCCTTAGAGACAAGAGAGGGGAGTGGGAGATCCATGCAGTACTTGAGACTGTGTCTGTCCTCTGCCCCTGCCAGGCTGAGGATGCTGAGCTTTCTGACTTCGATGAATGTGAGGAGGCTGGGGAGCTCTTTGAAGAGCCTGCTCCCCCAGCCCTGGCTACCAGATCCCTCCCCTGCCCTGCATATGTGGTGTTTGGCTACCAGGTGTGAATGGGTATGGACACTTCAGATGGGCTAACTGGGGTGGGAGTGGGGCAAATCTTGACTCTTTTCTTGTGGGGCTTAGGCAGGACGTGAGGATGAGCTGACTATCACAGAGGGTGAGTGGCTGGAGGTCATAGAGGAAGGAGATGCTGATGAATGGGTTAAGGTGAGTGTGGAACCCTGGGTTGGGGGCAGTGGGAGGACTTGTGTGTGGCTCCCAAGGACTCTTCTAGGTAATGCCAGAAACTTGAGTGTGGAAGAGCCAAGGTCATGGACTGCTGAGCAAGTCTGATACCTGTCACATTGCTCGGTGGGCAGGCTCGGAACCAGCATGGCGAGGCAGGCTTTGTCCCTGAGCGATATCTCAATTTCCCGGACCTCTCCCTTCCTGAGAGCAGCCACGGCAGCAACAATCCCTCAGGAGCTGAGCCCACAGGTAGGAAAGGGAAGTTATGGACTCAGGGACCATGAGTATAGATAGATGCAGCTTACTGGATGTTGTGGAGTGGAGTGACACTATTGTACCACAACCCACTGCCTTATTTCATCCTCTTTCCTGGGCTCCTGTAGCATCCCTGGCCCGTGCTCTGTATAGCTACACTGGACAGAGTGAAGAGGAGCTAAGCTTCCCTGAAGGGGCGCTCATCCGCCTGCTGCCCAGGGCTCAAGATGGTGTGGATGATGGCTTCTGGAGGGGAGAATTTGGGGGCCGTGTTGGAGTCTTCCCATCCCTGCTGGTAGAGGAACTGCTTGGCCCCCCAGGGCCACCTGAACTCTCTGACCCTGAACAGGTGAAGCTTCTTTCTCCTTCACTTCCCAAGTAATTCTGTGTTGACCCTTTCACCTCAACAATGCTCCATATTAATCTTACAGTCCTGTTTCCTCCCCAGTTTGACTCCTATGGTAGCTTAGGCCTCCCTGTGTGCTTTGGCTGGGAAGAGAAAAGAGGAACCAAGACACCCTTCACAGGAGTTTGGGAACTTTAGGGCCAGATAGGCCTGAGTACCAATTGCTACATCATGACACTGAGTGGTTACTTCTCTGAGCTGCCTTCTTCACATGTAAAATAGGAACAACAATAGCTGCTCTAGCAGGCTTACTGTCATGACTAGAGATGATAGAGGTAAACTCCTTAGCCCCATGATGCACAGGAAGTGTTTGAATTTGTGTTGCAGGGATCATATAGGAACGATCGTCCCAGTTTTAGTCTGTACTCTGCCGCTTAGTGACCAAGATTTGACGGATGGCTCAGTCTGAATCTCACTTCTGTTGTAGCAGCTGTCAAATTACATAGCTCACAGGGTGGTGGTGAAGGTTGAATAAATTTATATGTGCCGTGTTAGCAGAATGCCTCACATAACTATATTGGCTGTTGAACTATGTATCAGTTACTACCCTCATTTGGCTACTTTCGAGGTACTGAGAGGAAATGGGAGAGACTGAGAGCGGGGTGAAAGGAAATGCTTGTTAAGCCTTCCCACAGGCCAGGAATGACTGTATGCCTGCCCTGTCTCCAGACGCTGCCATCGCCTTCTCCTCCCAGTTTTTCCCCTCCTGCACCCACCTGTGCCTTGGGAGGATCCACTGCACCTGCTCTGCCTGCAAGTGAGTAGAGAGAACTGGAGCCTTGGAGCATAGGAAGGGTAAGGAAGAAGCTTGGACTCTGCCTCACCTGCTCGGGTGTGCCCCTGGTGTACCTTGCAGTAAGGCTCATGGCATATTGATGGGAAGGAGAGCTTGGATTTGGAGCCAGGTTCAAACTCTTCTGTTCTTGGTCTAGGTTTTCTGTTGTTATGCTTTAGTCTTTGGAAAGAGGGCTGGCCTTGACCTAGCACTCCTCCTGCCCCAGCTTTTCCCATGTGTTGGGACTAGAAGTGTGAGTCACCAGCCTAGCTTGGTTTACATTCTTTATATAGTGAAGGATTGTTATCAGGGGCTGGAGAGATGGCTCAGTGGTTAAGAGCACTTGTTGCTCTTGCAGAGGTCCCAAGTTTGATTCCTAGTACCCACATGGGAGCTCTCAACCATCCGTAACTCTAGTCCCAAGGGATCTGACACTATCTTCTGCCACAAACATACATGCAAGCAAAACATTCGTACACAAGGAAAAAAAAAAGTTAACTAAGATGTCTGTTAAGAGTATACAACATTGACGGGCAGTGGTGGTGTACGCCTTTAATCCCACCACTTGGGAAAGCAGAGACAGGTGGACCTCTGTGAGTCTGAGGCCAGCCTGATCTACAAAGTGAGTTCCAGGACATAGAGAAATTACATAGAGAAATCCTGTCTCGAAAAACCATAAAAAAGGAAAAAAGAAAAAAAAAAAAGAATATATAACATGGTACTTGGCAAACAGTAAGCATGGCTCTTTTAGATCATTATTATTTTAAGAATTAGTTGTCCTTTAAAAATTAGAATGTCTCATGGCATTCTTATATTTTTGGCTGTGAGCCAAACCTTTAATGGCTGAGCCATCTCTCCAGCCTTTCTCATGGCATTCTTATATTCTCCAAAAATGTACCTTTTTCTCTTACTGTCCTTGAACTCTGAAACATAATACTTACCTTTGGATCAATTTCTCTCTATATATTTGGAGATGCTGGAGACCAAACTAGGATCTTGCTCATACTAGGCAAGCCTATCTACCCCTAAGTTATGTCCTCAGCCTTCAATTTTTCACCATGAAGGACTCAGCTTTTCTAATACATTGTAGTATGTCCACCTTCTCCAAGTCATGTTCCCTGACTCCTCCTTCACTTTGAATAATGTAGTACTTGGGCAGTCTCTCTCTCTCTCTCTCTCTCTCTCTCTCTCTCTCTCTCTCTCTCTCTCTCTCTCTCTCTCTCTGTGTGTGTGTGTGTGTGTGTGTGTGATGGGATTCTCAATAGCCATTTTGAGGGGAACTTTTTACTCCCCCTTTCCTCCTTTCTTTTGGTCCTTTGTACAGAGCACTTGTGCATTAAGTATTTGAGGATAGATGGACTAATGGATTTTATAGCTCAGGCTGGCGATTTTTTTTTTTTTTTTTTTTTTGCTAAGTCAACAAGTATTTATAAAATGTCACTATCCTAAGTGCTGGAGATGCAGCATGGAGTTCAGCAAAGCTTGAGAATTGACTTTTGGTTTCTATTTCTAGACAGAGTCCTAGACTGCCCAGGCCCCCTGGACATGATGGTGCCTCGACTCAGGCCGGTAAGGGCCTCCGCCTTGGAGAAGATTGTGCAGAAGGGCCATTCCTATGGGTCCTTTTTTGGTTTGCTGGGCTGAGGGAATGAACAGGACTATTCCCAAGAGGGACTCAGGAGCACTAATGATGTATGTCTTCTGCAGATGCGTCCACCACCTCCTCCACCAGCCAAAGCCCCGGATCCTGGCCATCCAGATCCTCTCACCTGAAGGGCGGGGGTCACTGCCCCCCAGTGATGCTGCTGCCCCATCTCCATGCTGACAGAAACCGACCCCTCAATGATCTGGAGTGGCATAGGCAATGTCCATGTTTACCTCCAGGGTAGAAACTGACGCTGTTCCCATTTCTGGGATTTGAAACCCACTCCTTCCCCTCATTGTTCTCCTGTTATCTCTGGGCTGGAACTACCCCTTTGACTTTTTGCCATCACCCAGTAGCTAGGGTGGTAAAATATCCCAAAATCTCTGGGGCTGGAACCCATTCCTTAAAGCTTTGTATGGCTCTGGCTCATCTCTGTCTTCACCCTGCCTCTGTGGCCAGCCCCACCCTGAATGCCAGGGTCATGAGGCTTAGAGCCAGGAGAGGAGCAGATCTTGGGAGTCAGAAGGAGCTTGAGCCAGGATGCAAAGAAACTGTAATGGTCTGAGCGGATTTATTGACAGTGAATAAAGGGCATGAAGTCCAAGCTAGGGCCTGGGCCTCTTGTGCCAAGAGGGCAGGGAGCCTAAGGTGCTATTGCTTTAGGGGCCCACCATGGGTAGGGCCTGGTCCCAGCTGCCACGCTCTTGCATATGGAGCGAGGTTTTGGGGAAGGCAGGCCAGGCAACCTGTTGGCAGGTAGGGAAAGGAAAAAGAATGAGGGGTTGGGAGTTGGGAGGCGCTCCTCCTGAGGTCCCTCAGCCTGGGACCATGTAACTCTGGACAGAAGTAGAGCTGGTCCCTTAACTGAGGAGCAGTGCTGTCCAGTGGAGGGGAGAGCCTTCATGGCTATCCATACCCTGGCAATGCCTGCTGGTAATCCATCAGCACAGTGAAGAGTGAGGCTTGGAAGAAAGGAGGGGGGGGACAGTGTTGCTTCCTCTTCAAGCTCTGATCCTCCTATTCTCCAGATTGCATCTAACTCCTGCAGGACCTCTATGCCCACTCCCCACCACCAGCCAAGGAATCTATAACACACATTAAGCTCGTAGTTCATCCCAAGGGGTCAGGGAGTTGATAGGCTTGGATAGTTCAGGTAGAGGACGGGAGGATGAAGTTACCTGGTCTCTGAGCTCAGGGAGACTCGCCTCACATGCCCCCTGCTTCTGGTGGTAGAGTCTCCTGAGAGAAATGGGAAGTATTCAGTGGGAGCAGGAGGTGGATCATCAGTGTTACCCAGCATAGGGACAGTAAGATGTGCCCACCACTGCCCAGTGAAGCCCTGGTCATGTCTTCATACCTGCTGACCTGAGGTGTCCAGCTTGGTTGGCTGTCCATTTGCCTCTTGCCTAGGCAGCCCTGGGCTTGGGCCTCTTCCTCTAGTGCCTAAGGTCAGTTCTGCAGAGGTCCCAGGGGTTGCCTCAAGTGTACTAGGGACTAGGCTATCATCCTTGAGTCCTCCATTCTGCACTGGGTGGGTGGCTACGGCCTGGGAGGGTGGTGGCTCAGGGAGCAGCCTCTCAATGGCAGCTGTTCCTGTCCTAGGCTGCCCTCCCCCAGCCACCTGACTGGCCCCTGGTTCCTGGCCCCCACCAGAGCCCCAGCTTCTGTCTGTAGGGGAACCATCACGGTGTTCATGTAGGCCATATCGCTTCTCAATGTGTGTCACTCGGAATCTGGATGGGAAGAGAACATTGCAATTTAGGACTACTTAAATGCTACCTAAGCCTCCCTCCTTGGGGTTGATGGCAACTTCTCTGGCCTAGGATAGGGAGGCCGTCTGAGATTGTGGGACACTTAATGCAGCTTGACCCCCTGCTGCAGTTGCTCAGTCATTCAGAGGAAAGAACTGGGTCCCACCTTTGGGGGACAGGATTATTGGGCACCAGCTTGACCTCCATTTTCTTGGACTTGGTATTCCCACCTGCCCACTGAGAACACAGTGGTTTCTCCTGGCCTGGGGCGGCTTTTTCCTTCCTTGGAGCGACCCTGACGGACAAGTGGGGGCCTCTTATTGCGACTACAGTGGATGCAAGGAGCTGCAGAGCCAAGATGCACTGTGTGATGATGGGAAGGGGCTCCATCCTGCAGGCTGGAGGTGGCATCCACACTGAACCACAGGAAGAAAGGGTGCAGAAATGATATTTTCATTTCCCTTCCTGCCATTTCCTTCTGTTCTTTCAACAGACTCTTTAAGCCTCCTAAAACCCTACCTTCCCAGGTCCCAACATCCTTTTGTCTTGAGTAAATTTAATGCTAAACCATGGATAGTCATGTGAATTCCTTTCCACCCTGTTTACTAAAGAGAGCAATGCTCAACCAAAGAAAGTAACACCAGAGGTGAATGCTACGCTGGGTGGCATCTACCTGGGAGATACAGGATAAAGGGTTTCTTCAAAACTTCTTCCATAGGTTAGCTAGCCTTGTCAACACCCCCCCCCCCTCAACTTCCATGGTACTTGGGAAGATTGTATTAGAGGAGAGGGTACTCTAAGGTAAGCTAAGTCATGCTGGCTCTTGTTTCTACCTCACCTGGAGAGCTGCACTGTCCCTTCTCCTTCACTGTCCCCTAGCATCTCCTTCAAGGCCTCAGCATTGGCTGATGGGAGAGGAAGAAGAAGTCAGTGGAGGTGGAGGTCAGGGCAAGAGAAAGTCAGTCTGGGAAGGAGCAAGCTTTTGGCCTATACCCACCTTCATTTTGGATGATGCAGCGAACAATCCTCTCTACTGTGTCCTCATTCACGTCATCGTCTTCAGCTGAAGAATGAAAGAGGTTGGCAAGGAAGTGGGAAATGAGTCAGCTTTGGGGGAATATGACCTGATGGCCCCATGGGTGATGGCAATAAAGACCTATCCCTTTACCTATGTGCCTTCATGCATCGGGCCAGAAAAGGTAGGAGAAGAAATGGGCTCCCAGGGCTACCATGAACGGACCCCCTTCTCTAGCCTCGATTTCAGGGTGGTGTCACTTTACATGCAGACTCAAAAAACCATCAAAAGCTGTCTTTGGGGTTTCATCAGGATTTGGGCTGGGTCTGTCGGCCAGGGAGGCAGAAAAAAGTTTGGGGAGAAGGGTAGGGGAGGAAGGTGCCTTAATCAGGGTTCTAGGCTCCTCACTCACGGGGCTGGAGCTGGGCATCATCAGGCTCTGAGCCCCTAGATGTGCGGCAGCGGTAGCCTTTCTTCTTGAGCACGTGGCAGATCATGAAGCCTACAAGGCCCATGAGGAAGAAGACCAGCACAAGCAGGAAGAGCATGTACAGCCCATGTTGGGGCGGCTCCAGGCCAGGCTGTGGTTCCGACATGAGGCCCTGGGGGGCGAGCGCGGGCCAGGGCGCCTCCTGGGTTTAGTGGGCTGCAGCTGGGTACCCGCAGAGTAGGAAGGCATCTTAGGATCCGCAATAGGAGGTCCGCCCCACCCCCTACCGAACCAAGGAGCTGTCCAGACTAAGGGTGCTGGTCGGCCAAGACTGCCGCAGGCTGGAGGCCAGATGGCATCTACGAAAGCCCTCTGTCACGACCCAGCCCCACTTTTCTGACATCCAGACCGCTATCCTTTACAGTTCATCCCGCAACCCCGTCCCTTCCAAGGACACTGCAGCACAAGATGGAACGAAATTCTCAAACAGCCAGCCCAGAAAACAGGCTTGAGTCAGTGTTAATACCTCCTCTACACCGGCCAGAGCCAGGCCTTGTACAGCCCCCTCCCCTCCCTGCATTCCCGGGTCCCTTCTTTTTCGGTTCCTCCCACACTGACCACTTGGCCCACCCGGTACCGGTGGTTTGGTTCTGTCTCCGGCTCCGGTTCTGGCTCGGGTCCCGGTTCCAGGGGAGTCCTCGTCCGGCTCAGGGCCCCCGACGCCCTCCCGGAGCTCATCCCTTGCTTCCTCCCCCTCCCCCCCTTTGCCGCCTCACCGGCTCCGGGCTGGTGGCTGCGGATACCGGTGCCGCGGCAGACGGGGGGAGGGAAGGATGGAGGAGGATATGGGCCGGTTGGGAGCCGCGGCAGGCTCCGGACCACTCCTGCCCGGGAAATGGAGAGGATACAGGGGCGCCTCTGAAACTGTCCTGGGTTCCCAAATGCCTATCGCGTCGCGGGCCCGGGACCAGGAGGCGGAGCACAGGTGTGCGGGGCGGAGAGCGTGAGCCTTACGCGAGTGTGAACGCAAGTGAGATGTGCGCGTGACTGCGCCGTCCTCCCTCCCCCAAGAGGAATGTGAGGCGTGAGTCTGGGTCTTCGTGGGTGGTCGGGAGGTCAGGAAGGGCTCTGGCCACTAATCTGTGGGTCCTGCCCTCAGATTTCCCGGATAAGTGGAAAGTCAGCAATCTTCCTAGCGCACTGGAAAAATCTGGCTTTCTGCACCTGAGAGGGGCAGGATGGTCAGATCTTCCGAGGTTCCTAGGGAGGGACCACTGCCTCAAGACCCGTTTGGGGCTAGTGGGTGCACGGGATGACTCGTTATCCCTAGGATATGACCCTCGCCCAGAAAGAAACGGCCCTGGTATCTTATGAATGATGCCGTGGGTCCCCGCCCAATCTCGGAGTCTCAAGCCTCAGAATCCGGCCCAGGACAGCAAAGCGATGGGCGGAACTCTCCCATAAAGGGGCGTGTCTGGAAGTGATCTTGGGAGGCGGGGTCGAGGTCTCTTTTCCGCAGTGGTAGGATGCGTGCTTGCGCAGTACGCACGGCGGGGGTGGGGCTGGCGGCCGGCGGCGGTCGGGCGGCTGAGGCTCGGGGCCTGGTCCCCCAACATCATGGCCAAGACCGTGGCGTATTTCTATGACCCCGATGTGGGCAACTTCCACTACGGTAGGGCACAGAGTTGTGCGGGAGGAGAGGTTTCATGGGAAGGGCTTCGAACTCACTAACTCTTTTCTTCCGTACCCCCAGGAGCTGGGCACCCGATGAAGCCCCATCGCCTGGCGTTGACTCATAGTCTAGTCTTGCATTATGGTCTCTATAAGAAGATGATCGTGAGTGCTGACACTTCGGTGGGGGGTTGGGCTTGGCCTCAGGCTAGGTGGGCTAGACGTACCAGGTGCAACCTACCGCTAGAGGAGGGGGAGCAGGATAGAAGGCACTGTGAACATTCCCTATGTGCATGGGTGGGGGTGTCTCCCTACTTAATGGGTGATGCATTTTTGACCTTAGATGGGACTCCCTTTTCACATGAGGGCAGACCAGCCTCTGGCCTGGGACTAGGGGGACACTCTGAAGACAGGTTTGTTCCTTCACCTCATTTTAATTACGTGTTGGTGAATCAAATCCAGGGTTTCACACATTAAGTGAGTGTTTTGCCACTGAACTACACCTCTAGCGCCTTTTCCTTGTAGAGTGGATATTGGTGCAGGACTGAGGATGAGGGTGTATTTTCTAATGACATTTCACCCATACTTCCTGCTCCTTCTCCTCTGTCCATTTACTTGAAAGGAACTGAGACGCTCTTGGGACAACTCTGCACTCCTTGGTGTGTATGTGTAGAGAATGTGTTCTGGGAATGTACCTTTTTTTGTTGTTTTGAGACAGGGTTTCTCTGTGTAGCCTTGTCTGTTCTGAACTCACTCTAGGCCAGGCTGATCCTCTGAACTCCGATTCACTTGCCTCTGCCTCCCCAGTGCTGGAATTAAAGGTGTGCACCACCATGCCTGGCAGGAATTTACTTTTTAATATAGAATGTATCTATATATATGATTCTGCTCAACTCTCCCATCTGCCATGTTATACAGGTACTGCTTCTTCCCCAGCTTGGAATTTCTAGCTGTGAAATGGGAAAATAGCAAGCTTGGCCCTTATGTACCATGAAGATATTCAACATGTAATCAGTGTGTTTAGGCATAGGCAGTGGTTTGGGTGTACAGTAGACTGAGGTGGTATTAGCAAAAGTCTGTGAATCCCTAAAATTGTCTGTGTGTCCTTTTATCCATTTTCTAGGAGAGAAAAAAAAAGTGCTTCTTGCCCAATTTTCAAATCATTGTTTGAACTTCTCTACCCCCACTGAGGATAAAAAATCTTTGGTTTAGGACTTTGGATTTCAGTTAGATTGTCATATATCTCATGGATTTGATCCCACGGTGAAAGACCCAAAGAGAACAGAACCTGAGTTTGAGAGAGGAGACCAGTATAGAGGGAACCAGGACTGGGAAGGCCAGGAGAAGTGGGCTGGGAAGGTAGGAGAGGCTGGGCTAAAGGGAGGAATTAGACAAATGATCTTCAGGGGTCTTGATAAACGTAGCTTGCCTAGCTAATAGCACCTCCTCTTCACTAAGGGATGGGGTGGGAAGATTGTTATATGTGTTTTGGACAGTCTCCATGGCTGGGTTCAGTGTGAGTGGTCTCAGCGCAGGACTTGCATAACACTGTTTGGGTTTGTTGTCAGGTTTCACACTCAATCTGGGCCTTTCCCCCCTGCTCCTACCTGGAATTGTGGAGCCAGTAACAAGACCATGTGTCAAATGCACAGTGAAAGGGACTTTTATTCTTGGCCAAGAATATAAATGGGAGATGAACCTCAACTCAAGAGGTTATAGGTACAGGGGTTGGAGTGATGACTCAGCGGGTCAGGGTGCCCGCCTCCAAGCCTGGGGCCCTCCACATGGTGAAAGGAGAGAACTGGAATCTAAGTTATCCCTGCTTCATGTATACCTACCCACCCTGCCCCACCCACTCACACACTTGTTGGGATGAGCTGGCAAACACATACACAAGAAATAAGGTAATACAATTTTAATTAAAGAAGAATTTGTAGATATAGAGTAAAAAATGAGGCAAGAGAAATAGACTGATAAAGAAAAGGAATATTCATTCACCACCCCCCCCCAGTCTTCCACCCCGCCCCTCCTACCCCCACCAGACCGGGCAGAAAATTTCTGGGAATTCAGGTACTTTTTTTCCCCCTCCTTTTTTGCTTTCCAGTTGTTTCCATGGCAGTTGTTACCTGTCATGGTATTGGGAGTATCATTCAGTGTTTAGATGGGATTATAATTAAGTGAGGCCTTATCTAGTTGGTCACTCTGGTAATCCTCTTGGGCTGATCCTGTTTTGGCTAGCCCCCCTGCGAGGAACTCTGCCTTCAAAGGTAAGATCAGGGTAGTGTAGAAATTCAGCTAGTACCTAGGCAGTGCCCAAGGTAACAACTTCACTTTGGTCTCCATCCCCAGGTCTTCAAGCCTTATCAGGCCTCCCAGCATGACATGTGCCGCTTCCATTCTGAGGACTACATCGACTTCCTGCAGAGAGTCAGCCCCACCAATATGCAGGGTTTCACTAAGAGCCTTAATGCCTTCAACGTGGGCGATGACTGGTGAGGGAAGCAAGGGATTCTGTTGTCAGGCACCTCAAGGTCAGGCTCTTCAATGAGGCCTTGTGGCAGTAGTAAAAGGAGCCTACTAGTCAATAAATTATCATTCCCTCATTGGATTGTTCAGTAAGTAATCACTTTAATCCCAGCACTCAGGAGGCAGCAGCAGGCAGATCTCTGAGTTCGAGGCCAGCCTAATCTACAGAGTGAGTTCCAGGACAGCCAGGGCTACACACAGAGAAACCCTGTCTTGGAAAAACAAACAAACAAACAAAATACTTATTAGTCATTCCTTCTGGGCCAGGCCCTGTGCTAAGTGTGAGGGATACATTGGTGAAGAAAAATAACAACATTTTAATATTGCACCTTTGCTTAGTAAGTCCTGTGAAGGGATACAGACTGACTGTAAGTGTGTATTACTTGGCAGAATTACCTAGCTTTAGGGTAGGGCTGGTTTTAGAGGAAATGCTAGAGATATTGAGCTTCTGAAAGATGACTGGAGGGTGAGGGGAAAGGTGTGGTAGGAGAAGCAACATGTGCTAAGGGGTGGAATGTGACTTTGCTGGGGAGTAGCAGAAAGGCAGTGGAGAAAATGGAGAGAAGAGTGATCTGAATAGAGGCTGAGATGAGAGAGGCCTTTTTCAAGTGTAAGGCCTGAGGTGGCTTACATCTGTAATCCTGGTGCTTAGGAGGCAGAACTGTTTTTAAAGTAAACAGTTACTTTATAAGTCAGTGATTTCATTCCTATAGTAGATGAAGGTCATTAAAACCAGGGGATGACATGTCTAGTTTTTAATTTAAAAGTTTTTTTTTTTTTTTTTTTTTTTTTATTTTATAATGATACTAGGAATTGGATTCAGTTCTTTGTGCATGTTACTTGGGCTTTCTGCTTCGAAACTACATCCCTAACCAGACCATGCTAACACTGAGCTTGTATTGTAGGCAGAAGACTCAGGGTTGGGATTGAGTTATGAGTCTTACTGATACTCTAGGTGATGTTAATGAAAAATAATAAACATAGTAACTATGGAGTACTTAATACTGATGGTTTTATTTTCTTATTTATTTGTGAGACAGGGACCTCACTATCCAGACCTGGCTGGTCTGGAACTCATTATGTAGACCAGGTTGGCTTCAAACTCATAGAGATCCACCTGCCTCTCCATTTCTGTGATTAAAGGCGTGCACCAACACACCGGATACTATTTAAATTTTTCAGAATTCTTGAAAGTAGAGTAGAATAGTGAATCTGCATGCATACATTCTTTACCCAGCTTCAACGCTTAGAAGTAAATGACTAGGTTTTTCTTTTTCTTTTTTTCTGGTGAGACAGACCTTATTAATTAGTAAATGCTGGCCTTGAACTGGAAATCCTGTTTTAGCCTCCCAAGTGCTGGGGTTCTGGCACATTCTTCCATACCTGGGCAGTCTTATCCCAGGCTTGTATCCCTTCATGTTACATGATTTCAAAGCAAATCCCAGATGCCACATACTTTTATCTGTAAATATTTTTATTATGTGTCTCTAAGTGATACTCTTAAAAAATATCAATATGACACCTAAAAAAACAACTTTATTTATTTTTTAACTAATTCTTTAATGAAGTTGCAGTTGGTATTTAAATCTCCCCCCCCCCTCTCTCTCTGTGTGTGTATGTGATGTATTTTATTTTAAATCATCAGGATCCGAACAAGAGCATATTCACTTGGTCTCTTGAATCTTAGTCCATGTCTTTTCTCTCTCTACTTTGAATTTTTTTTTCTTAAAGAAAGAAGGTTTTGATCCTGTGTTGTTTCTTATAAACCTATTGTTTAATAAGTCCCTATGCTATTATGCATCATGTTGAGGGTTACAGATACATTTAGTTAATTCTGACAGCAACACTGGACTGTAATAGTCCTTTAGTTGCATCTAAGTAAAGGGAGGTATGGGGAAATTTGGTAGTTTAATGTGAGTCACCTAACTGACGGATGGGGTAGGACTTTGTGATGCAGAGCCCAGGTTTTTGTTTATTTTGGGACAAGGTCTTGCCACATGGCCCCAGGCTGTCCTTGAACTTGTGATCCTGAAAGCTGACTAAAACAGAATCTGCTACAGGCTCCTGCATGTTAGAATGAGTCTTACTCCACCACATCTGGCTCAGGGCCCAGGTTTGTAAGCCAGTTATCCTAATCTGTTTTACTGAAAGAGCCGGATGACAAGTAGTTGGGGCTTGTAAAGGCAAGGTCCTTAGGCTCTGTGAGCACCTCCCCCACTCCCACAGTATGGAATCCTGGTGGCTCTCTCTCCATTGAGCCTTTCAAAGCCTTTGCTCACCACTTCCATCCCTTTCCCTTTCTTTTCTATGAAAAATCTTTTAAAAATTTTACTGTGTGTATATATGTTTATACACACATGTGTGTGTACCTGGGGAGGCTGGAGGTCACTGGATCCCAGAGGTGGAGTTTCAGGGGGTTGTAGGTCTCCTGATGAACCCAGACCCTCTGGAAGAGTAACAAATGCCTTAACTGCTGAGTCATCAGACTCCCCCCTCCCTCTCCCCCTTCTTGTCTTGTTTTGTAAGACAGGATCTTCATGTGTAGCCCAGGCTGTCATTGAACGGGAGGACTCCCATGAAGCTTTTCTTGACAGCATTGGCCCACAGTTGTGTCCTGTACACAGTGTGCTGCTCATTTGGTGTTAGATTCTTTTTTAAATCATTTCTGTTGCTGCTTCTGAGTTCATTTCCCAGATCTGAGAATGCAGAGTCAGCTCTTAAGCCGAAATGTTCTGAGAAGTAAGGAAGCATTTCCCTCTGGGCATTTGCCATCCATCAGCTGTTCCATCAAATGATAGTTGTGTTTATCGGTGTTCTGTGTTTCAGATGAGAACTGGGTTTCCCCACCCCCTTCTGTTTTAAAATTAATTTCAAGTTGCTTCCTGACATGATGGTTAAGCCTATTATACCAGTAGAGAGGCTGGGGCAGGAGGCTAGCCGTAAGTTTGAGGCTACTCTTGTCTACATAGTAAGTTCCAGAACAGCCTGGGTTATGAGTGAGGCTCCATCTCAAAGGATAAAAACTGTGATTTTAAAATAAGTAATCTAATATTTATAGTTAAATTATATTTTGGGAAAGAAGCAATTCTATCTATAAATCTCTCTCCCCACTTTATCCTTTACCTATTTCTTCTGGTATTTATCTTTTTTGTTTGTTTGCTTTTTGTTTTTTTTTTTGTTTTGTTTGTTTTTTTGAAACGGTTTCTCTGTGTAGCCCCTTGATAGTCTAGAATTAGCTCTGTAGACCAGGCTGGCCTCAAACTCAGAGATTCATCTGCCTCTGCTTTACATGTGTTGGGATGAAAGGCCTGTGCGACCCAGCTATGCCCAGCTATGGTGTTTATCTCTACATTTCAAATTAATAAAATTACTGTTGCTACTCCTACTAATCTGTAATATTTAGATAATACCTACTATGTACTAGGTACTGTTTTAAATGCTTTGCAACCATTTTCTCAATAGCAATGACCCCTTATGATGCAGGGCTTACTATAGGCTCCTTTGTACAGATATGGGTATCAAGACACAAATGGTTAAACAGCTTGACGGCCAAAGAGCCTAGAAGCTATTTGCTTTGCTTACCAGGTAGGATACAAACTCCCTGGCAATTGAACATTTTTATGATTTCTGTGTCAAGTTTTGTACGAGGCTTGCTTGGCACAAGAGTTGGTCAAAAATCTTTGTTGAACAAATCTGAAGATGGCTCGGTTTGTGGAGGACGAGAAGGAAGCTGTTAGAGGGTGGTAATTGGAGTTTGGGTGGGGAAGGAGGTGGACGATGGCAAGAGGGTGTAACTCCAGTCTCTTTCCTGCAGCCCAGTGTTTCCCGGGCTCTTCGAGTTCTGCTCCCGTTACACAGGTGCATCTCTGCAAGGAGCAACACAGCTGAACAACAAGGTGATGTAGCCCCTAGTCAGTAAGTAGTCCTGGTCCCATGTCCCGTGGTTCTCTGGATTCAGGACCATATATAACCTTGACACGGATCCGGCTTCACTGGTGGGCAGGAAGAAGATTGAATGGGTATTTGTCTTTCAGATCTGTGATATTGCCATCAACTGGGCTGGTGGTCTACACCATGCCAAGAAGTTTGAGGTAAGGCTGCAGTGGGGAAGACTGGCTGCCATAGGATAGGTGCTCGGAATGACTGTCAGTGTAGCTGGGTGGAAGAATTGTTCCTCTCCTTATAAAACCATCTCCCACAGGCCTCTGGCTTCTGCTATGTCAATGACATTGTGATTGGTATCCTGGAGCTGCTCAAGTAAGTACTCCAGGAGGAAAAGGGGAGACTTCGGAGACTGGGATGAAGTCCCTCCTGCCCTGGCCCCAGCCCTGACCTCCTTCCCCACTGGCCTCTCTCCAGTCATGATGCTTTTCTCAGGTGGCTCCTTCCTTAGCATCACAATTTGTTCCCTGCCGCCCTCTCACATTTCAGCCTCCCCTGCACATCCTTTCCTTTATCTCTAGCCTTCAGGATGAAGGCCTGGGCTGTCTGGAGGAGACTTGGTGGGATGAGGTTTCAAGTAACTTGGCCAGAAGCACACTCTAAATAATTCCCAAGCTTGTGTTGGGGAGGAGAAGGTGGGGGATTCACTTCTTCCCCATACCGTGGCATTGTCCTCACATCAGGTACCACCCCCGGGTGCTCTACATCGATATCGACATCCACCATGGTGATGGCGTCCAGGAAGCCTTCTACCTCACTGACCGGGTCATGACTGTGTCATTCCACAAATATGGAAATTACTTCTTTCCTGGAACAGGTAGGGAGGGCGTAGGGTCACTGTGTTTTTTGCACCCCGTTGGCTTTGTGGTGTATGTGTTTTGTTTTGAGAAAGGGTCTTGCTCTGTAACCCAGGCTAGCCTTGAACTCAGAATCCTTTATAGTCAGCATCACCACACCTGGGTGTCCTTCATCTTTTTGCCTTGATTGATTCCCTACCCTTCTGTTCTTAAGAATTATGTGCTATCCTCAGAGAAGCCTTTCAGAAACAGGTACTGAGCCCTGCCTCATTTTTTTAAGACTACTCACTGCTAGTTACATTTATTGTGGGTTTTTTTTTTTTGTTGTTGTTCATTCTCTGTCTTAGTCACTATTCTATGTGTGACGAGAAACCACAGCCAAGGCAACTCTTATGAAAGAAAGCATTTAAATGGGGGCTTGCATACAGTTTCAGAGGTTTAGTCCATTACCATGTGGGGAGTATGGCAGTTTGCAGGCAGGCTTGGCAGCAGTAGTTGAGAGTTACATCCTGATCTATAGGCAGACACTCTGGACTTGGCTTGGACTTTTGGAACCTCAGAGCCCACCCACCCCCTCCCCTGTGACATCTTCTCAAACAAGGCTACTTCCTAATCCTTCTCCCAGCAATGCCACTCCCTGATGACCGAGCATTCAAGTACTCCCATGGGGTCACTCTTATTCAAACCACCCTTCTCCTTCTTTATCATGTGTCCCAAAAGTATGGGCTTGGCGGAATTTCATTAGGTCTGTTCATTGCTATATCCCCCATGCCTCCTACACATCTCACACATAGTAGTTCCTCAGAAATATTTGTTGAAATGAATGTGATGGCATATGCCTGTTTTCCCAGTAGGCAGGCTCAGGTGGGAAGGTTGCTTTATGTTTGAGGCCAGTCTGGGATATATAGCTAGACTGTGTCTCAAAGGGAAAAAAAAAAAAAAAAAAAAAAAAAAAAAAAGGAAGGAAGCCAGCCAGGGACTAGAGAGATGACTCAGCTGTTATGAGCGTTTACTGCCTTTACGGAGGTCTCAGGTTCTGTTCCCAGCACTCACAAGGCAGCTCACAACTGTCTGTAACTCCCGGTTCCAGGAAATCTGATGTCCTCTTCTCATTTCCATGGATGCCAGGCATGCACCAGGCAGGAAGACACATATCTGTAATCCCAACAATCAGCAGGCTGAGGCGGAGGAGAGTGAGAGTTCAAAGCTAGCCTGAGCAACATAGCAGGTTCCTTGTCAGCCTGGGTTATATAGCTGTGACCCTGTATTGAAGGAATGCAAGTTGCTGGGGCCTTAGCATGTGGTAGAGGGTACAGAAGGAACAGTTGTGTTATGGAAACGTACCGGGCATGACTTCTGTACCCACTTTTCTACAGGTGACATGTATGAAGTTGGAGCAGAGAGTGGCCGCTACTATTGTCTCAATGTGCCCTTACGGGACGGCATTGATGACCAGAGTAAGTACTGATGACTTCTCCATGCTCACTTCCCCCCTTCCTTTTCACTTTCAATTAACCTCTTCTGCCTGGTATTGTCTGTTGTTGGGCCAGGTGTCCTTAAGGATGAATGTCCTTCTGAGGGACCATGAACCCCTGGAATTTGTATGCAATATATTATGTGTATGTGCGTTTTTATTTATTTCTTACCTTTTCTGGGAAGAAGGTGGATAGTGTTCATCAGTCACTCATAGCAGGTTGTGATACCCTCCAGAGTTCAGAACCGATGGTTGGTTCTGTGGGTTGCCCCTTTCCTGGGCTACATGCTCTCTCAACCCCCTTTTTCCTTTTGTTCCCTGTCTCCCCATCCCCTTGGGGTGCCAGGTTGCCCACCTTTGGCCCTCTCCCAGGTTACAAGCACCTTTTCCAGCCAGTCATCAGCCAGGTGGTGGACTTCTACCAGCCTACATGCATCGTGCTTCAGGTAATGCTGCTAGCACCTCCTAGAGGGCTTGCCTGGGCTCGAGGAAAGAGATTGGGGAAGAATAAGCCCCCATATTGGCGAGAGAAGGACAGTGGAGGACACTGGTGCTCTGATCGTCATGTTACTGCAGACATCTGGGTTTTTCTGTTTTTGCAGTGTGGAGCTGACTCCCTGGGCTGTGATCGATTAGGCTGTTTTAATCTCAGCATACGAGGACATGGGTGAGAATCGCCTTCCTTCTTGTTTTGGTTGGTTTGACTTAAAGTTGTATTGCGTCATCATTATCATTATTATTATGTGTGTATGTTGTGTGCATCCTTGACCATGCATAAATACACATATATACAAACAAAACATAACAAAAATCCAATGAAGGAAAAATAACAAGATAGAGTGACAGGGTGACAACAGGGAATCTGCTTTTGATTAAACTTTTTTTTTTTTTTAAAGGTCTCACTATGTGGCATAAGCTGGCTTTGAACTTGGGATCCTCCTGTCTTAGCCTTCCAAATTCTGGGATTACAAGCTCAGGTCACCACACCTGGCATAGGAATTTACTATAGGCAGCATGCTCTGGGAAGGGTTTTCTGAGAAGGTGAAATGGGAGCTGAGACCTGGAGATTAAGAAGAGTGAGCCATAAAAAGAGAACAGAGGATCCTGCCCCAAGTAGCGAGAAGGGCTAGTGGAAAGCCCTAAGATGAAAAAGAGCTGCTGTCTTGATGAGGAGGAAATAAAAGCAGTGAGGTCAGAACACAGTGAAGTGTTGAAAGCTGGCCAGGTTGAGATCGTGCACAGCTATTAGACCCTAGCATTCCATGGGTGATGGACAACTGCAAGGAGTTTAAACAGGGAAGTGACATGGTCCAGGGAGTTTGAAAGTGGTTGGTTGCTCTGACTGCTAAATGAAGAAAGGTTTGGGGTGGGAGTTGGCACAGGATGGTAGTAGGAAGCCATTATCGTTGTTTGGACGGGGGATGTGGTGATGGAGAGAAGTAGGGGCTTTGAAAATGTATGCTGAAGATTAGAATGGACAGTCTGGCTGGGACACTAATGCGAGTAGTTGTTAGCAGGTAAAGTGCCAGGGGAAGTATTAAGCAAGACTGAGAGTGTGCTTTATTTTTAAATATTTATTGAGACACAAAATATTATTATTATTTTTCTTTTCTTTTTGGTTTTTTAAGGCAGGGTTTTTCTGTGGCTTTGGAGCCTGTCCTGGAACTAGCTCTGTAGACCAGGCTGGCCTTGAACTCACAGAGATTCGCCTGCCTTTGCTTCTCGAGTGCTGGGATTAAAGGTGTGTGCCACTAACACATGTGCACACCAGAAGTGGGCATTGGATCTCCTGGAGCTAGAGTTACAGGTGATTGTGAGCTGTCCAGTGTATGTGCTGGAAACTGAAATTCTGGTTCTCAGGAAGAACAGTAAACACACTTAACTGCTGTATTGACTTTCCAGCCCCTAGAGTACACTAATCTTGTACAGCTCAGAGGCAAGAGGGCATTTGGTGGGACAGGGTGAATAATACACCCTATAAAAATGCTTGCTACATAGGCATGAAAACTTGAATTTGTCAGGCCCAGTGGCATGCATTTATGATCCATAATCCCAGCCCTGGTGAGGTGACAGGAAGATTCATAGGGCTTTGTGGCCAGCAAGCTTTGCTTACTTGGGAAGTTCCAGGCACCCCCCCCCCCCAAAAAAAAACATTGGTGGATAGTACCTTTAGAACAACACTTGAGGATGTCTTCTGGCCTATGTGTACATGTGTTACATGCATACATCCCCAACATACACATTCAGGTATCAATACATGTATTGACATTCACATGAAGATTCAAACACACATCTACACAAGCAATCACAAAAAAATAATGCCACTGTGAATTCTGCTACCCAGAGTGACATAGAGAACATTTATTTGTCAGTCTCTCTGCCCAACATTTCAGGTGATACCTGGGGTCACATGTCTTGGATTCACCCAGTCCTCTGATTGCTTCTAACAGGGAATGTGTTGAATATGTCAAGAGCTTCAATATCCCACTCTTGGTACTGGGTGGTGGTGGTTACACTGTCCGAAATGTTGCCCGGTGCTGGTGAGTACTCTGTTCCCTTTCTCCTTTGTGGAATCCCTGAAATTGGAGGGATAGTCCTTGCAGTCTCCATGGTCAATCCTCTCTGCTTGCTGGTTTCAGGACATATGAAACATCTCTGCTGGTAGAAGAGGCCATTAGTGAGGAACTTCCCTACAGTGGTAAGGTTCACCTCATGATGCCCCTACAAGTGGGACCATTCTTACCAATTCCCACAGTGACCTTGTTTGAAGGCAGATGGGAAGCAGCACATTCTGGGAGTTCTACAGACTAATCCCCTAGGCTCATATCAGAGCAAATAACTCTTTTATGTGGGGACCAGGATGGGGAGAGGATATGGGAATGTCTTGGGACACACCTTTTTTGTATCTCAGCCATACTTCTGATTCATTCCCTCTCTCAATCCCTTCCCATCTCTAAGAATACTTTGAGTACTTTGCTCCGGACTTCACGCTCCATCCAGATGTCAGCACCCGCATCGAGAATCAGAACTCACGGCAGGTTAGCAGCTTGGAGAAGCTGGACACAGCGATAAGAAGAGGCCTCAGGAGAGGTCCAGGCAGTGGGAAGTAGGAGAAAGCAAGAGAAGGAAGTTTAGGCTGTTGCTCTTACCACCTTGGGGCAGCCTGGGATAAAATAGGGACAGGTATCAACTGGGGATATGAAATGGAAATATTACTTCAATCCAGTGCAGTCAGGGTAGAAGGCAGAGAGAAGGGTGTACACTCTGGGAATCACCCAGGAGTTGCTGACTTTTCTTTCCTTTCAACTAGTATCTGGACCAGATCCGTCAGACAATCTTTGAAAACTTGAAGATGCTAAACCATGCGCCTAGTGTCCAGATTCATGATGTCCCTGCAGACCTCCTCACATATGACAGGACTGATGAGGCTGATGCAGAAGAGCGGGGTCCTGAGGAGAACTACAGCAGGTCTGGGCAGGGGCTTGAGAGCAGGTGGTTCTTTGGGTTTGCAGAGGAGGCTTCTCAGTGGACTAGTTCATCTAGCCCTGGCTTATCTCCTTTAGGCTGCAAGTTTTCTACCCTTTTGACAATTTCAATAAAAAAAACAACATATTGAAAATATTATAAACAGCATCAAAATAGATTGTTTTTACACAGTCCCAGAATCATTCCACGAAAGGAACCACTATTAATGGTTTGACTTCTGTCTTTCTTTTAGGTAGATCATTTTTTGTAGATTATAAGAATACTTCTTACATGCACATGCGCACATTTAGAATTTTGTTTACGTAGTATTTCTTTTTTCCTTGATGCTCTTTTGTTGTTGCTTTTCAAGACAGGGTTTTGCTGTGTAGACTAGGCTGGCTTTGAAACCAGAGATCCTCCTGCCTCTGCCTTTTGAGTACTGGCATTAAAGGCTTGTGCCACCACTGTCTGGTTCTTGGTAGTTTTGAGATTAGGTTTCACTATCATAGCCCAAGCTGGCCTTGAGTTCATAATAATTCTCTGCCTCAGCTTCCTAAATGCTAGGTTAAAGGCATGTACCACCCTGCCCAGCTTGTTTATACATGTTTTGTTAATATAAATAAGAGTATTCACTATATGTTGCTCTGACTTAAGGTTGCCAATTTTTTGTTTTAAAAAAACTTTTCCCTGTCATTATGTACAGATCTGTGTTTTCGCAGTTGTATCATCATTGTGTGGGGATAGCATAATAGGATCACTTAGCACTCATGGATATTTATATTATCCCTACCCTACTCCACCCCCTTTTATGTGGCTATTAAAGTAGTGGAGAATGTGGCAAAGAATCCCTGTAGGATACCTCTTTGCGTGCTTGTTTGAGTGGTCTGATTTTCAGAATTGTCAATATTAGGGCAAAGGCCGTATTTATTGAAACTTTTTATATTTGCTGCCAAATTGCCTTCCAGGAAGTCTTCAGTGGCTTATTTATGTTTTTTTTTTTTTTTTTTTTTTTTTTTTAGAAAGCCTTTTCTTTTTAGATTCATTTATTTTATGTGTATGGTGTTTCATCTGCATGCATGTATGTGCACCACTGTGTACCTGGTGTCTGCTAAGATCAGAATAGGCGGTCAGATCCTCAGGAGCTGGAGTTAAGGGTGGTTGTGAGCTGCCATGTGGGTACTGGGAAGAGAACCTGGGTCCTTTGTAGTGACAGTGAGACTTAGTAGGGAACAGATCTCCTTATAGGACTGAGACCACCTGAGTTGATGTTTGGCTCTGCTACAGATGTGAATGACTTCTCAGTTCTTTCTACAACTTGCTTGTGGGTTGTGGAATTCTGGTTTCCATCTCTCTCCTCTGGACTTGGTCATGACCACTTTGGCCCTTGGACTTCACCCCTTCTTCCCTGGCTTGGGTAAGGAAGTATCGATCCTTTGGCTCAAGCTCCTTCCGACCGACCGTCGTCTCCTTGCATCTCCCAGCTCTCCCTTTTGTCTAGGTTTGCCGTTTTTCTTCTTTAGTCACGTGCTCACATCTGGCTCTCACCTCTCATCATTCAGCCTGCTAGAGAGCCAGGAGGAGCTTCTCTTTCTAAGCCTTGCCTCATTCTCAGGCCACCTGCCCCCATAGCTCCTGCTAACATGTGACTTGCAGAGTGGCCACAATGAGTTACCACCTTTGCACAGCTCGGGCTCTGCATTAAGTGCTTCACGTTGTCATTCTGTTGTCATCAGACAACCCTCTTATTCTCAGATGACTAGAGGAGGAATCCAAGGCTCAGAGAGATTAAGTAACTCTCCTAGGGTTCTGCCGTTGAGTTGGGCTTCCTGAGTAGACAAGATTTTGTCTACCTCGGTTCCTTAGCTTCTCTTCAGTGACCTCCTTAATTCTCTCTTTCAGACAATACTTTTTCAAGAAGAAGGAAGCTGGTGTTGAGTGCTTATTGAGCCCTGTGTCACTCCCTTCTCATGGTAGTTTTAACAACACGTCAGTCTCCACTCATACCTTTCCCTGTGCTAGTCTCTCCCCAGACCTTTCCTTCTCCTTGCACTTAGAAGCCACAGCTTGGAAACGTCTTGCACAGAGATCCCTTACCTCATCTTCTGAAATTGCCTTTGTCTGCCCACATAACCCCACTGTCTTGGCCTCCTTGTCATTCTGGAATGGCTCAGTTTCCTTAGATCTTGTGATTTCTGTACTTGGTTTTCTTGTGACTTGATGCAACCTTCCTGAGATCTTTGCCCGGCCAGCTTCTTCACAAAATTCAGGTATTTCATTCTCAGAACAGTCTCCTTACATTCGTAGATAAACGGTCATCTTCTCATTCCTATCAGACTCAATCATGTAGAACACTCCACCATTTGAAATTATTGTATTCATTCATTTGCTTTGGTATTGCTGGTCTCATGAGACATTGTATGGAATGGAAACCTTGTCTGGCTGATTCTCTGCTGTTTTGCTGAGGCCTACAGCACTACCTAGCACACAGAAGTCTCCTTGGCAAAAGGAGAGGAACTGGCTTTGGAGAAGACCAACAGAGAACTGGCTCTGAGGGTGGTGCTGGGAGGGGTCTGGAACGAGTCTGGAACTTGAAGAGTGGGTTCGTCATCTCTTGTCCCTTGCTTTGCAGGCCAGAGGCACCCAATGAATTCTATGATGGAGACCATGACAATGACAAAGAAAGTGATGTGGAGATTTAAGAGCGGCATGGATGTGGTGTCCCCGGGAATTCCTTTTCATTCCCTTGGGTGCGAAGGAAAGTATGGGTCCCCCAGTCCTGACTGGGTACCCCCAGGGCTTTTGCAAACTCTGGTGAAGGGTTTGGAAACCACATGTGGCTCTAGAATCATCTACCCCCTTTCCTCAAACTGTCATAGCCTGATGGTCCCTGTTAGGGATGAGATAGGGACAAAGGTATCTGGAACATGATGGGTAATGAGCCCTAGAGGCTGCTCCCCAGCCCCTCTGGCCCTGTATTTGTCCCCTCCCTGCTTCCACCTCAGAGACTTTTACAGATGAGATTTTTGACAGTTATAAGGTCACCTCTGACTTCCTCCTGGGTTCCTCTACTGCACTTCTTGCTTCCATGGCAGGTGAACAGTGAAGGGGAGGAGGGCCTGGCTCTCTGAAACCTTCACTGCCGATGAAGTAGGGGGAGGACGTGAAGATGTTCTGTTCTAACTGGCTTTATGTCCATTTGACCACTGTTTTTAATCTAATAAACCAATTGGTATTTTTTTGTACCTTTCTGGGAATTGTAATTCTTGTTAGCTACCTATGTATGATGGGAAAAGGAAATAGAGATGATGATGTGTATAATAAAATTGTTAATGTTCACTCAGTACTTTATGTTAGGCACTGTGTGTGTATTCTCCATGGATACTTTTATTCAAATGGGAATTAATAGAACATTTCTGCTGAAGAGTTAGATTAATCTGGGCAGATTACTAGCCTGAAAGGTGTAAAAGGTGGCTTTAGGTAAGTGAGCATGGTGTTGGAGATGAGGATGTTAGGTGGCAAAGATACCCTGAGATAAACACTGAGTGTTCCGCTGTGCTGGTTGTTAAGAAACTGACTGCAGCTGACTAAGGTAGGGGCTGGATCCTGTATACACTACAAACACAGACCCTCTTCTGGAAGGCTGCCGTCAGGGCATGGTAAATGTAGGTGTTGACAGTGGCATGAGGAAAGTTTGATGGATGGGCCCCTCGTGCTATCTTTTCACTTTAGAAGTAAGTAGCATTGAGCTTCTTCTGGACAGCCTGCAGTGAGAGCTGGACACCTCTGTAACTTCTTATTCAGCAGTTGGAAGGTTGGAAACACAAGGGAGGGGAAGGCCATATTTAGGAGACAGCAAAGTCAATAGAGACCCTGGTATTACATCTAAGCTCTGGAGTCTCCAAAAAGTTACTGAACCTGTCCTCAGCAATATACACTTGAAATCCTTTTCTTTCGTCTTAAGGGGTAGTCAGTCCATCGCTAAAGGCGTCATGTCAGGTAGACATAGACAGGAGAATGAGAGAGATCATGTGAAGACCATACCCAGAGAACTCATGCAGGCACGTTTGGTTTATGCCTATGGGGGATCTTGGTTAAATATGGTGTGGCTGTCAGATTAATCTGTGTGTAAATTTTCTATCAATTATGTTACAAGTCACTTCAACTCCCACAGTCCAAATTTCTTAAATGGTGATAGTCTATCATGAAATTGTGAGGAATCAGTTAGGAAAGATGTTAGGTTTAACATACAACCTGTCTTATAATTTGTGCTGGGTATGTAGTAACTAATTGCTTCTTAGGCTATTGGCAATAATTAGTCTGTCTACATAATTGGAAAGCTAATCTAGGATTCAGAGCTGGGTAATGTAACTCCATAGCTGGCTCAGATTGGCTCTGGCTCGAACTCAGTTCTTGGCACTTAGTTTCTATTATCAAGTAACTAATTTTTTACAGTATTTCTTAATGTACTTACTGCCTGAGCATCATATACATACAAACTTCATTATCCCACAAAACTTAGCCTTAAATTTTCAATCAAAATAACAGTGTTTCTACAATAAGAGACTTGGTTCAGACAATAAAATTCTGGCTGGGGTGTGAGGTGTTCTCGCTTTGCAGCCACGTGGGCTCTGCGTGGGAGCCCAAAGGCCTCTGTTCAACCGCCAGGGGGCAGTACTTCCCTCTCTGGCGTGGAAAAGCAGCACCGCCCACTCTCCGTCCCCCCCCACACGTGGGTCCGAATGGTTAGGCCCGCCGGGCAGGTAGCACGCTTCCGCGGCGTCCCTCCACCCCCGTCCCTTCCCCCATTGGTAGGGGCTGCGGGTCCGGGCGGAAGTGGGGCAGGCGGGCGGGAGCGAGGCGTCACCGTTGTATATTCATGAGGCGCGCGCAGCCCAGCATGTTAATGAGGCGGGGCGCGGCGGCCGGCTAAGAAGGCTGCTGGGCGGCGGCGGTGGTTGCTGGCTCGGGGCAGCCCGGCGCGAGTGACGTAGACCAGGGGTCTCTGGCCGGAGCTACCAAGACATGGAGCCGTCCGGCGGGGGCCTGGGGCCCGGCCGCGGGGCCCGGGACAAGAAGAAGGGTCGGAGCCCCGATGAGCTGCCCGCGACGGGCGGCGACGGCGGCAAACCCAAGAAATTTGTGAGTGTCCCTCCCACCCTGCTCCTCAGCCTGGCGGGGTGGCCGCCCTCTGAACTCGGGCGACCCTCGCTGCCCTCCGGGGGCGTCTGCCTGCCGCTGGGGAGCCGCCCCCGCGCTCTCTTCCTGGTTTCGCTGGGTCGTGGGCTTCGCGGTCCCACATTCTGCCCCTCCGGGACCTCGGGGAGCCCGGGTGTCCCACCTGGCCCTCGCCTCGGCCACCTTGGAGCTTCCCTCGCTCTTCAGTCCGTAGGCTCTGCTCTCCCGCCCCCGTGGCCCCGCGGGCTCCCGGCTCCACTTCCTTTCTTTTGCCTCTAGTACCCCCCACACGCCTTTTTTTTTTTTTTTTTTTTTATTTCTTTTTTTCCCTTTTTGGCTCCTTGTAAGCGGTTCTGGGTCTATTTTCTCTTCTCACCCATGCCCGGATTGGGTTATTCTCTTTCTTCTAAAAGGTCATTTCCTTCCTCACTGGTGATCCTTTTCACCTGCTAACTTTCCTCCCGCCCTGTCCCCTTCCAGGGCTCTCAGCCCGGTGTCACCTGGTAATGCTTCCCCGCAGGAATGTTACCTGACTTGAGTCTTGTCTTCCCTCCTCCTTTGGACGTTTGTCCTTGTGATTACGGGTATGGGTTCCTGCCCAAGTCCTGTGGTCATTGGGGCATGGCAGTAATTGACTTCTCAGTATTTCCCAGTCCACAAAACCTGTTTCTTATTGCCCTGTTGCTTATCACTTCAGAGGGTTAGAACTTTTCTCACGATACTCTGCCCTTCATGACCCGAGATGGTGATTAATCTCCCTCTTGAGCAAGCTAGACTTCAAGTCCAATAAGTTTGTGATTTGCTTTTTATAATTTTAAAAAAATAATAACCATCTCCTCAACTCACCTTTTGCTATCTTTTGTGCCCCTGGGTAGCTGATATCCCCTTTCCTACCTGTAGGAGAGTGTATCTTTCCTTAGGTGCCGGTTAATAATCCTAGTCCTAGGGACTGTTGAGGTTCACATAACGTGTTATTTTACTACCTGTTGCCTTTCCTAACTAAATCCTCGTCTCTCTTCAGGGAGCTACTTGCCTCTTCCTGTAAAAGCTTTGAAAGATACTGAGTAGTCAAAAAGGGAGTTTCTGCTCAGCTGTTGCTAGTTGTTAACTAGATACTTAGTTTGCTCTTCCAGGTAGCATTAGTAATCTCTGATCAGCTAAATGGCTTGAATTCTTACCTCTTGCTTTCTTTCATGCCCCCCCCCCCCAGCGTTCTGATCCAAGTCCACGAGTTTGGGAAGTAAACTTGATAAAGGGATGGCAGTGGAAAGAAACTTTTGTGACCTGGAGGGTTGGGAGCACACTAAACTGAATTAAAAGGGTGACTGACTCATCTCTTCCTATTTCTGGCAAGACCAGGTGCCCCTGTTATGTCCTCTCCAGTGACATAGAGGGTGTCAGTAACTGTTTGATCCGGCAAATATCTTTGTAGAAACAGGATCCTAGGTGACCACAGCAGTATATCCTTAGGTTCTTTCTTTAAAGGTAGGAATTGACCCTCCAGTTTGAGAACTTTCCTTCCAACATGTAAGCTTTAGGGCCTGTATTCTTTCTATTTCCGTGTCTTTTTGTTTTGATTTTGTTGCCATGGATACTGTTTGACCTTCTCTATCCAAACTCTAGCTATTTTTGCTGATTGTAGTGATCTCTGTGACTTATTGCTGTTTATTAAAGTTTCATGTGTGCTTCTTCTTTGTTCTAACACTGTGTCTCATAGATTGGTGAAATCTACTGATGTTTGTGGTAAGGTGAGAAATCCCAGGAACCTCTCAACTTCTTTCCACCTGTTTTTTGGCACAGAGTTGTTCGCTGAGTGGATTTGGCCCAGAATTGTTGATATTTGCTTTTGTACAGGGTGGAGCTGAACCTAGTTCTCTTTTACTGAGCTTCTGGTTTTAACCCTTACATTACTGAATTTTAAGAACTGGGTATTGTAAGCAGTGAGAATTGGAAAGTTTCCAGGGAAGCAGGCTGCTCACTTCCTAATTGCTAAATATAATCTACCTTAAGGCATCAGGCTATTCTTTCTCACTGCTCTTTATGAGGACTATGAAAATGAGAGACAAGGAGCATTGCAATCCACTTCTCTTTGTCTCTGTATATATAAGTATGTGTGAGTGGGTGGAGTGGGCGAGACTGCTGGGGCGCTTTTGTCACCCAGGGCTCAGTTTTCTTGAACTACTGGCTAAAACCAATCTCAAAGCTATTTCGCCTACTCCACCTTTTCTGAAGTGTGGTGTCCGCCAGAACTCCCATTCTGAATGTGCTGTACAAACCTTCTGGCCTGGACTAAGTGTGCTTGAAGGTTTGCATTTGAGTGCTTGCAGTCCCTTAGGCTGCTGCTACACTTTTTCTGAGCAGGTTGTTTGCATTTGAAGGACTGCAGTTCTTACCTTTTCGACTTTTGCAGGTTCTAAGTACACATAGGCTGATGAGAAAGCAGAGCTCATAAATTGCCTGAGATCTTCTTTACCTGAGGCGTGCTGTATATGGAGAACAGCTGATCCTAGTTTAAAAAGTGGATAGGCATCTTTTAAAGGCATGGCTGATGCAAGTGTTGTTGTGAGTGGCTGAAGGCAGGCTGCCTGCTTTTCCCCTTGGTTCTTGATGAGCCTGTCTACTGGACCATGAGCATTTCCCTTCTACATTATTCCAGTTCCTTTCAGAAGCCTTTCAAGGGAGGAAAATAAAAATTCCAAGTGAACAGAGTGTTTCTGATTTTGCAGCAGGGATGGATGTGGGTGTCAAATACACTCATTTCTGAAATATATGTAAGAAGAGTCAGTACAACCAGGGTGTTAGGAGGCTGTAGAGTATTCGTGCATTCAATAGATTACATGTCTTCTCATGCAGTTGAGAAATTAAGACAGTCTAAGAACAGTGATTCCTGACTCAGTGAGGAACATAATAAGTTCAAAAAGCAAGGAGAAATCCTTAAATGTTCCAGAACTTAAAAACAACTGAAAGTAAATTTTATTTTATTTTTAATTTTTTTCAAGACATGGTTTCTCTGTAGCTTTGGAGCCTGTCCTGGAACTAGATCTGAAAACCAGGCTGGCCTTGAACTCACTGAGATCTATCTGCCTGTCTCTGCCTCTCTGCCTCTGTCTCTTCCTGTCTCTGTGTTTAGTGTCACCACCGCCCGCCTGGAAATAATTTTTTTTAAGAGATGTATTTGTTTTTATTTTATGTGTACTGAGTGTTTTGCCTGTATGTGTGTATATGCACCACATATGCTTGGTGCATAAGGAGGTCTGAGGATGGCATTGGATCCCTGGAAACGAGCTAAAGATGGTTGTGAACTACCATGTAGATACTAGAAACTGAGCCTAGGTCCTCTGCAAGAGCAACAAGTGCTCTTAACCACAGAGCCATCTCTCTAACCATTAAGAACTGAAAATTTTATGGACTGTAAATTGTTTATTATAAAACCTTAGGAAGTAGTAGTATTTATGATAAGGAACAATATAACTTTGATAAGCACATAGACCAAAACAGACCTATTGTATATTCTGTATGATAATGTTTTGCTGTCCTTATTGGTCTGCACTATAGCTTGCACGTGGATTGCCAAGTTATTCTAGGGGAGAATTCTATCTTCAGTGTAATGTAATAGAGACCCCAAAGATACAGTTGTATACACATGGTGATTCAGAAGAATAAGTTAAAATTAGTTTATTAACAGGAAATATGAGACATGGTAGTAGAGAAACAATGTAGAAGTGGTTCCTTCTACTCTGTGTTGTTGAAAACATTCATAGTTATAAAAACCATTCTCATTTTGAAACTAATTTATATTAAGAAGATTTTTGGTTTTGTGTTTGTGTGTGTGTGTGTGTGTGTGTGTGTGTGTGTGTGTGTGTGTATGTGTTGGGCCTTGTGCTTCTGGTAGCTGGTTTGACTATAGCCAGGGTTTTAGGCAACTAGACAGTTAAAAACTATTAAGACCGAAATTTCCTTTAATCCCAGGCAGGAGATCTCTGAGGCTGAGGCTAGCCTGTAGAGGTCTATGCAGTGAGTTCCAGGACAGCCAGGGCTACATAGAAACCCTGTTTCAGGGGTAGGGTGGGGGCTGGAGGGAATGCTAAACTTTCTGGAAGTAAAAATTGAAAAGTAAAAAATATCATAATCACTTAGCAAATCTGTTTTCTCTTAAAGAAAAACTAAACCAGGTTTTAGAATCATTAACTACTTTTTAAGAACATAAAAGGTTTACTGTGGAAAAAGACAAATATTGAGACCAATATTTTAATGAATTTCTTCATTATAGGACAAGTGGGAAAGTCATTTTTTCAGTTTTGACCTTTTTTTTTAAACTTCTGTTCGTTATTAAAGCTTGTTATGAGAGCTGGGGACTGGTGAGATGGCTCAGAGGGTAAAGGCATTTCCTGCTGAGTCTGAAGATGTGTTTGAACCCCAGGACCCACATGGTGGAAGAAGAGAACTGACACTTCCATGTGGGCAACCATTGCAGTGCGTATGGGTGCAGGCACATACGTGCGTGCGCACACATATACACACATGCACACATCCATGTGTGCACACAGACGCACACATACACATGCCCACATGCATACACACGCATGCACACACAAGTACATACATGCACATATACGCATGCACACACGCATGCACGTGCAGTTGTTAAAGGAATATATAAAGCTAGTGCTGAGTTTCAAATGCCATCAAATGCAACAGTTATTATTCACTTACAGTTGTGTGCTGACAGCATCAAAGGGCTGAAAGGTAGAAGGTGGATGAATAAACAGAAGGGAAGCAGAAATTTTGGTTCCTTTGTTTTCTAACATAGTAACATAGTAACTTAGGAACGGACTTAAGGGGAAAAGGTACAGAGTGAAAAGAAACTAGTTCTCTATGGCTCAGCTCTGTGACATTTGGTTTTTAATCATAGTTTATGTTCCTTTTTTTTCAAGTGGAGGACAGAATAGACAGACTATGGAGGA